ATAATATTCAGGTCCCTATTATATCCAGCCATAAAACAGAAATGCCAATAATATGCTAAGTAAAACCAAAAACTTAACAAAAATTACAAGTATTTATGAGTTAGAGGTTTGTTGAGGAGTCTCAATTTGTTAGATGTATGATAACATAACTATTTTAATGTTGCACATAATTCCTTTCATCTGTGTTGGAGGGATTTATCTTTGTTTCACCACTGAATATCATTTTAGAGCAGATTTGAAAATATGCCAGTCTAATTTGCCAGTTTAATAACCAGTAATTTTGGTTATTAAAATTTAGACCTATTTAAAAATTTCAGTCCTGTATTCTTTTCAAAGTTTCTTCTCCTTACTCTCCTAGGGAGAAGCTTGAACCCTTTTGTTCAAGGTTGAAGTGTGTGTGCGCGTGCGTGAGGAAGAGAGAGGGAGAGAAGAGAAAGCATGTGTTTTTCTAAGTGAAAGAAGTTTAAAAGTTCCCTCCATTATCATATCCCACGCGGAATGTTGTTTATGGCAGAGAGAATAAAAGATGGAATATTCAAATTCAAGGACACCGCAGGGTCAGGTAAACAGAGGTACCTGATCTGGGTGAATAATTGAAACAACTGTCAACATTTTGCAGCTCATATTAGGAAGAGGAAGCAGTGTAGTGAAGATGTGCTTGTGGTAAAACGTGAAGATCTGAAGAAGCAGAGTGTTAAAGCCTAGAAATAATTGCAGACATATCTTTCTAACTGTGTAACAGGCACTCTTCCATGAATTGTGCTTATTGTAATCCTCTTTCCTTTCTAAAAATATTTAGCGTTTATTTATTTTTGAGAGAGAGAGAGAAGGAGGAAGGAAGGGGCAGAGGGAGAGGGAGACACAGCATCCGAAGCAGACTCCAGGCTCTGAGTGTCAGCACAGAGCCCGACGCGGGGCTCAAACGCACGAACTGCGAGATCATGACCCGAGCCAAAATTGGATGCTGAACCCACCGAGCCACCCAGGTGCTCCTTTAATCTTCTTTCAAAAGTCTTTAGGGAAGATAATCTTACTGTCTCCTTTCAGATTAGGGAACTGGCATACATCCTGTTAAAAGTTAAAAAGTGGAGACACTGGGATTCAAATGCTAACACTCTAATTCTGGAGCATATGCTCTTAATCACTGTGCAGTACTGTCCTTTAGTATCTTGGAAAGTCTGTGACATGAGAATGTGCCATGTGGAATGACACATGGAAACTTTTACAGTATACCACAGGTGGAACAAAGCAATGAGATTTCAAACCAGAACTATGTTCTTCAGGTCACATTGCTTGCTTCTTTCCTCCAAGCCCAGAGCTTCCTTGCTTTGGCCGTAGTGTGAGATGGCACCCGAGCCAGCTCTGTACCCCGACATCACAGTCCCAAGGTACGGAGGAGTTAATGCTCCGTGCTGGAAGCTTTCACACTGCCGGTGAAGGAGCCCAGGGATAAATATTCCCTCCTTTCCTCTTCCCGCAAACAGAAAGTCCTCAGATGCTTTTTATATAGCTTCGTGGACAGTCCCGAGGAAGTGAGTGAACAGTCACCCAGGGGGCTGACTTAATGATGCAGCCTTGTGTTGGCTCTTCTTGCTTTCCACCTTTGCTGCCTTTGACCTTCGATCCAGCTCCCTTGGATTGAACACCCCCAGTAAATTGTTTGTGCTTTAGCCTTTGTCCCAGGCTCTAAGGGAAGCGAGGTTCGGAACATCAGTGATGTGTCCATTTCAGCAGGTTAGCTGTGTAAGTGGAAGGGAGGATTGTGTGTGACTGAGAGGTTTTGGGTTTTTGTTTGTTTGTTTGTTTTGTTTTTAAAGTAAAGAGGCTAGATTATTGATTCTCAACCCTGGCTGTATAAAAGAATTATCTGGAGAGATGTTTTTTGAAGACTTCATTTTTGTAGAGCAGTTTTATGTTCACAGTAAAATTGAGAGGAAGGTACAGAGATTTTCCATCTGTCCCCTGCCCCCACATACACAGCCTCCCCATTATCAGCATCCTCCATCAGAGTGGTACATTTGTTACATTTGATGACCTACGTCGACACATCGTAATGCATAGTTTACATTAGAATTCACTCTTGGTTTTGTACATTTGGATCAATGTAAAATGATTAGTATCCATCACTGAAGTATTGTACAGAGTATTTTCGTTGCCCTAAACGTCCTCTGTATTCTGCCTGTTCGTCTCTGTCCTTCTCTTCCATCCTCCCACAGCCTCTGGCAACCACTGATTTTTCTACTGTCTCTAGAGAGAATTTAAAAAGTAACTGTAACCGTGTCCCAGCTTCAGAAATTCCGATTTAATAATTCTGGAGTTGGCCTGAGCATCAATAAGTTTTTGAAAGTTTCTGGATGATGGTAATATATAGCCAGGATTGAGAAATCTGGACTAAATCATGCTTAAATTATTAAAAGAAGGATTTAAAAGCGATGGAGAGATCCAAGTGGGATATTTCATAGTTCATAGCTTTTCAGAAAGGGAAAGAGATCGGATTCAGGGTATATTTGGAGAGATTAATTTGTGCAACACAGAGGAACACCTACATGGTAAGGACCCAGAGATTTATTTTCTCCAGCACTCTTCTGCACAGGCACTGCCTGGGGATCTTGTTAAAATGCAGGTTCTGATTCTTCAGATCTCGGGCCTGAAATTCTAACATTTAACAAACTCCAGGTGATACAGTGCTGCTGGTCTGTTAGACATATTTTTTATTAGCAAGGATTTGAGTTTTGTGGGTTTTTTTTTTTTTTTTGTGGGGGGTTGGTAAATGAGATCCAAAGGCAAAGGGAAAAGAGAATTTAGAGTGTATTTAAGATAATTTTTCTATGGTACTCAGCTGATGTCCCATGGAATCTAAACTCAATAAAAAGGGAAGTGAAAAGGAGATTAATGAATAGGACATAAGCGGGGGGGGGGGGCAATGAACTGAAGGTTTTGATGCCAGTGAAACAGCTTTGTAGTGACATTACTGAAGAAAGCAAGTTAGAAATATAGGAGGGTGTGGTGGTCTCAGAGTGGGATATTTGCATTAAAGGTATGGGGTGCCTAATTTCAGGTGATGAATAGTCAAGGGCTTAAATTGAGGGGACTGGGGCAGAGTAAAGGAGATCATTGGAGATAAGATCAAGGAATTACTTGAGGCCAGGAGGTTAGATTACTCTTAAAGAGGTTTAAGTTCGGGTGAAGAAGAAAGCAAGAGTCATACAGCAAAGTTGTCAGTGGATGAAAGGGCCAAGATTAGAATAGTTTAATTGGTATGAACCTCAGAGGTGTTGGGATTTTTTTTTTTTTTTTTTTTTTTTAGCAACAGTTGTTTCCTTTCCATCATGGCATTAGGAAACACGGACATAACTCCACTTGTTTGATCCAGAAGTACAGGAGAACTTTGGTTTGCAAGCATAGTTTGTTCCAGAAACATGCCAAAGCATTTGTTTTTTATTTTTTATTTTTTTAAATATGAAATTTATTGTCAAATTGGTTTCCATACAACACCCAGTGCTCATCCCAACAGGTGCCCTCCTCAATACCCATCATCCATCCACCCCTCCCTCCCACCCCCCATCAACCCTCAGTTCTCAGTTTTTAAGAGTCTCTTATGCTTTGGCTCCCTCCCTCTCTAACCTTTCTTTCTTTTTTTTTTTCCTTTCCCTCCCCCATGGTCTTCTGTTAGGTTTCTCAGGATCCACATAAGAGTGAAAACATATGGTATCTGTGTCTCTCTGTATGACTTATTTCACTTAGCATAACACTCTCCAGCTCCATCCACGTTGCTACATATTTCATTCTTTCTCATTGCCACGTAGTATTCCGTTGTGTATATACACCACAATTTCTTTATCCATTCATCAGTCGATAGACATTTAGGCTCTTTCCATAATTTGGCTATTGTTGAGAGTGCTGCTATAAACATTGGGGTACAAGTGCCCCTATGCATCATCACTCCTGTATCCCTTGGGTAAATTCCTAGTAGTGCTATTGCCGGGTCATAGGGTAGATCTATTTTTAATTTTTTGAGGAACCTCCACAGTTTTCCAGAGTGGCTGCACCGGTTTGCATTCCCACCAATAGTGCAAGAGGGTTCCTGTTTCTCCACATCCTTGCCAGCATCTATAGTCTCCTGACTTGTTCATTTTGGCCACTCTGACTGGCATGAGGTGATATCTGAGTATGGTTTTGATTTGTATTTCCCTGATGAGGAGCGACGTTGAGCATCTTTTCATGTGCCTGTTGGCCATCTGGATGTCTTCTTTAGAGAAGTGTCTATTCATGTTTTCTGCCCATTTCTTCACTGGGTTATTTGTTTTTCGGGTGTAGAGTTTGGTGAGCTCTTTATAGATTTTGGATACTAGCCCTTTGTCCGATATGTCATTTGCAAATATCTTTTCCCATTCCGTTGGTTGCCTTTTAGTTTTGTTGGTTGTTTACTTTGCAGTGCAGAAGCTTTTTATCTTCATGAGGTACCAATAGTTCATTTTTGCTTTTCATTCCCTTGCCTTTAGAGATATGTCAAGTAGGAAATTGCTGCGGCTGAGGTCAGAGAGGTTTTTTCCTGCTTTCTCCTCTAGGGTTTTGATGGTTTCCTGTCTCACATTCAGGTCCTTCATCCATTTTGAGGTTATTTTTGTGAATGGTGTAAGAAAGTGGTCTAGTTTCATCCTTCTCCATGTTGCTGTCCAGTTCTCCCAGCACCATTTGTTAAAGAGAATGTCTTTATCCCATTGGATATTCTTTCCTGCTTTGTCAAAGATGAGTTGGCCATACTTTTGTGGGTCTAATTCTGGGGTTTCTATTCTATTCCATTGGTCTATGTGTCTGTTTTTGTGCCCCACAAGAAATAATGGAAACTCAGATTATTCATTCCACAATCCAAAAATATTCATATAAAAATGATTACAATACTCTAATGTAATACAAAATAATAAAATATAAAGAAAAATAAATAAATTTAACCTGCGCTTCCCTTTGAAAACCTTCATGGGTAGTGTGAGGGAGGGAGTGAGAGGAGGGTTACTGTGTATGACAACTTTCACTATCACTAAAGGAATCACTGCTGTCTTTTGGCTCCATGGAATCTGTATCTGCATGGGGGCCATTGTACATGCTTGCATGGATGTTGACTACAGTGCAGTATCGATAAACTCTTGTCATATACTGTATCTGATGTAACTGGCAATAAGGCAGCAGAGGAAAGGGTCTCTGTCTGCAGGCAGCCTGACCTAGAATGAAGCAAAGCATTCCCAAGCTCACTCTTGTATGCAAAAGCAAAGGACTGTCCATGGGTGCTTTGAGGTGACAAAAAATACACTAGTGCCAGTTGTGGGCACCTTCCAATATTCTGAAAAATCACTGATTTCTGCCGAACACCATGGCCCTAGACCAAGCATCCAAGTATGGGAGATGATCACCCACAATCTTATGGAGAGAGAGAGAGAGAGAGAGAGAGAGAGAGAAGAAGGAGGAGGAGGAGGAGGACCACTACCACCATTGGCTCAGTTGTAATCATGTGACATTCAGCATCACATACTACTTGTATTGCAAGACCTCGCTCGTTTATCAAGTTAAAATTTATTAGAAATGTTTGCCTGTCTTTTGGAACACTTACAGAACAAGTTACTGACAACCCAAGGTTTTCCTGTACTTGGGATGTAAGAGAATAGAATCTATGCTTACAGGTCTATGGAGATTTCAGTTATAGGAAAAAAGATGGAGCATGTGAAGTAGTTGAGGATGGAGAAAAGCTCAACAATCTCAGGATACAAGTTCTAGCATCACAGTTTGGGCTGAAAGCAGTAGGAGTGTTAAGAGAGAAATTATAGATAAATTTTGGAAAGGAAATCAGTAAGGAATAAAAGTCCAGAAAGGCTGTTTGGGGAGTGACCAAGAAAAAAAGCATTTGGGTTGGGAGTGGCTTCCTTCTCATATTTTCTTGGAGAAAAACATGCTCTTGGTAAAACAGTAATCATATGTATTTTCGGAAGAACTCCTTTCTCCCAAAGAGCCAGACGTTTTCATCCTTCTAGTCTGCTGATGGTGACGACTGCAGTCGGTGCAGCACTAGACAGTGGCGTGGAGAAAATGGATGTAAACCAGGAAGGCATCATTTCTAGCATCTCAGGAGCTAGGAGTCTCCAATTGAAGATAAGAATCTTAGTTTTCCCTGATAACTCATGACACAGACTGTCAGAAATGGTAGAACATGATGGCCAAGGATACAGTTTCTGGAACCAGGCTTCCTGGGTCCAAATTCTGATCCTAACCCATTCTAACTTCATGGCCTTGAGCAAATTACTGAATATCTCTGTGCGTCAGGTTCCTTATCTATAAAATGGGCATAGTTACAGTGTCCAACTCATGGGTCTATTGCGAGGATTTAGTAAATTAATATGTGTAAAGCATTAAGAACCGTGACTAACACATAGTGCAATACAAGTGTTTGTTTTATTTGTTTAAATAATTGCTGGGCTTATAATATTTTATTTTGATTTAAAAAGTAATTTTTTAGGGAAGATAATATGCTAACAGCAAACCCTTAGGAGATGAGTCCTTACCATTCATTATGCAACAGTTATGACAACCACAGGTTGCACAGGCATATATGCACACACACACACACACACATTTTTTTTTTATCTTTTAGGCAAAACAAAATTGTTTCAAGTGTACCAATGTTACAAAGCAGAGATTGGGACTAGGTTAGATAATGCTGTGGAAAGAAGGAACTGCAACCCAAACAGAGAGGGAACTGATAGTGAAAAGCATGTGGGAGGCTCAACCGCTCCCAGGTTCCTTGTAGAATTCCACAGGAGGAAATAAATTGAAAGCAGTTTTAATTACAATATTTCTTGACTTGCTACAGAGAAAGGCATGCAGCTGCCTGTGAAGGACCCAGTGAATCGTGCCCTGGTGTTCGCTTCCTCAGTGGAAGGTTGCTATCTCCTAGCTACGTGCTGCTTGGAATAGAAGCACTAACCACGAACCAGATGGTGGGCATATACCCCATGTGCATAAACCCAGGAAGAGCCAACCTCCCAACCGAAGCCACTCGATCATTATTTGGGAGGCTCAGGAAGCTCAGATCATTGAGGCCCAATGAATATTTTTCATTAATTTCCTTTGACTAAAGTTCCTATTTTCTTTTGCATTAGGGAGAAATTACAACATTTCCCCAATCCGGCACCTAAATACAACTTTGTGTTTACACATTTTCTTGTGTATTTTCAAGGCTTTCATCATTCATTCAAGCAATGTTGGTTGGTTTTTATTATTTCCCAGGTAGGATGGTTAATTTTATGAGTCAACTTGACTGGGCCACAAGGTGCCCAGACATTTGATCAAACAGTATTCTGGGTCTGCGTGTGAGGGTATTTCTGGTTGACATTAACATTGAATGAGACCAAGTAAAGCAGATTGTCCTCCCCAGTGTGGATATGCAGTGTGGATATCTCTTCTTGGGTCTCAAGAATCATGGCTTTCAGATGGCACTCACACCGTTAACTCTCTTGGCTCTCAGAACGTCGGACTAGAACGACACCACAGTCACTACACTGTATCATCAGCTTTGCCAACTACAAATCCTGGGGATCCTTAGCTTCCATATTTGCACGAGCCAGTTACCTTCACTAAATCTCTTTCTGTATAATCCACACATTGTACTTGTCCTTTTTCTCTCAGGAACCCTGGCTAATACACCGCATTTGGCTCGATGTTAGGAAGAGAGGAGTTGGCGTGTTGGTCAGATCTCAAGCACTTCCAAGGTAGTGAGCCTTACCAAATAATTGCATCAATTTAAAATATTTTAAATTTGTCCCAAGTGTCTAAAGGACAATCACACATTTATATTAATTTTTTTCTCTTTCTTTTGAGAAGGAGGTAATATTGTTGAATGATGGCAACTTCCTGACTGATAGGGGTATTTCTAGACATGTGAGCCACCGAATACTCTGTGCTGTGTGCTCTCCATGTTAGATATTTGATCCTGCTAATTTCGTTTGAATTTCCCCAGGTTTAAATTTGAAGCAATACTCTAATCCTTGCATTGACAGAGTAACTCTCTGTCATAATGAAAATTCAGATCGGACGCTATTTTAAAAATGGAAATATTTTAATTCACGTTTTGAAAGAAATGGCCTTAGAATAAGTAAAACCATAAAAAAGATGAAAAAAACTTCAGATTTCTATATGACAAAAAATAAGTCTATAGTTCAAATCCCACTGCCATTAGCCAACTGGGTAACCTTTGGTAAGTTACTTTTTTTTTTTTTTTTTTTTAATTTATAGTAATGAGATCTTCTCTGAAGTTTTCTTTTTCTGACTCAAAAAGGCAGGCTTAATCACTTCCTCCTGTGTATTTCTGTACAGCTTATTGTCTCATGTTTAGACGTCTCTTTGCTGTGAGACCATGCTTATGTGTCCTGTGTACTCCAGGAGGGCTGACGTGCCTCTAGGCAGCCAGCACTCACTCTCTGTGTCATATGTCTCCAGGAACCAGCAGAGCCGGGCACACACGTGATGTGCCAGAAACGCTGGCTGCGCTAAACTGAACGCTAAGGTTCCTTTAAGTCTCAACGCTCAGTGATACCATGACTGACAAGACACTTGAAGTTTAGCAAAAGCACTCCCCACTTCTCCAGAGGCCGAGCTCCTTTAGATTGCTTATGAATGTTATATGTTCTTCCTGACTCTTTTTTGTTTTGATTATCTTTTTCCGCACAGGTCAAACAGTCAGAATATAATTAACTAGATGCTTTTCATATGTAAATATCACAGTGATTACAATACCAGACTTCACTGGGTATCAGAAAGAATGACTCTTCTCAACATGAACGTTCAAAGATTAGATAAAATTACTATGACTTTCAGATTTCTCTTTTTCTTTTCTGTGGATAATTCCATCTCCCTTTTTCTTTTGAATAGACATTCCACTTAGTAAGAAAACTCTTTCTAGTCTCCTGGCCCTTAACATATTCCCTTTCTAAGCTATCCGAGGGGCCATCTGCCAAGCTTGATGAAAATGCTAATGGAGCTTCCTCTGGACCTGCCAACTGATTCTGTGTTCCTCTGGGATCTCATATTCCAAACAAATATCCTGGTGCAAAATAACAGCAGGAGAAGGTTAAAGAATAAAGAAGGGCAACAAATTTTATCAGCAGATACTGATTCTGAAACCCAAATTAGCTTTTTAGCATAACTAGTACGGACTTCACTATGTAAAAGGAATCAGGGAGATAGCATTGACTCTGCCAAATGCTGAGCACCCTGCATGTACTATAGGTATTAATTCGCTTAATTTCCAAAACAAACTTCTCTCTAGAAAATACTGTCATTATCCATGTTTTACAGATTAGGAAGTGAGGTTTAGCAACTTGGCCGGGGGCGGGGGTGTTGTTAACAAGGAGACCGGGGTTCAAATCCTGGCTGAGTGGTGATAACCAACTTAAAAAAATTTTTTTTCAGCATTTATTTATTTTTGGGACAGAGAGAGACAGAGCATGAACGGGGCGGGGGGGGGGGGCAGAGAGAGAGGGAGACACAGAATCGGAAACAGGCTCCAGGCTCTGAGCCATCAGCCCAGAGCCTGACGCGGGGCTCGAACTCCCGGACCGCGAGATCATGACCTGGCTGAAGTCGGACGCTTAACCGACTGTGCCACCCAGGCGCCCCAAATAACCAACTTTTATAAGCATTGCAAATATGTAAGAAGTCCTGCTTCCCCATATCCCTAGTGTTGCAAGCCCGTGGTTCATCACTGGCTGCTTTGTTCCTGGCCTCTAGCACATTGTCTTGTGACAGAGGGAGAAGACTTCCTAGCTGTGAGCTGGCTTCTAAAGCTGCTGTTCACGAGTGACACACATTGTTATTGTCCACATTTATTCACCAAAGCAGGTCACGTGACCACTCCTGCAGTCAGGGTAAGACACGCTTCACCAGACCAAGCCTGATGTCAGGGAAAGACTGTAAGTCACACAACGATTTCGAGTTACGTACCAAGCCTGAGCCCAGTGAGACAGGAAAATATCTCCTTTGCCGAGGGGAGACCTACATATTATGAACAGGAATATAATCTACTGCTCTATGATACTCATACCTATAAAATAGTATCTCACTGGTATCTTTTTATACGTTTAGCGGCTGTTGGAATTTTATCTTCTGTGAATGTCCGAGGCTTATAATTTGCCTATTTTTCTATTAGTTTCTTTCTTTTCTTATTGAAGATCTAAATAATTTTTTAAATTTTATGCATAGCAAAAATATTTTAAAAATAGGGTCAAATAATGAACTTAAACTATATGGCTATAGTAAGGGATACATAACAATAAATATAAGAATTTGATCATATGTGGCATATGGTAAAGTCTTAGTAAATGTGAATCATTATTTTTTAATACTGTCCAGAATACAGGTCAGCAAACTATAACCTGTGGCCAAATCTGGCCCTTAACTTTTAATAATAAAGTTTTATTGGAACACAGCCACACATTTGTTTAGGTGTTATCTATGGCTGTTTTGTGCTACAAAAGCAAAGTTGAATGATAACATGACAGAGACTGTATGTTCCACAAAGCCTAAAGTATTTACTATCTGTCCTTTCGCAGAAAAAGTTGGCAACTGCTGATCTAGACTGATGAATTAAATGGATATCTAATGGGGAACATCACCCAATAGTCCTTAGGTCCTAAAGGCTGGTATTCATCTCTGACCTAGATGCCAGGATGCAATATACTGGATTGATTTACTATCTTGGCAGCAGAGGGTGGGGGTGATGTCAAAGGCTTCCCACCTGGTCTTCTGTGCTATGAGAAGCCTTACCTCACCAAACCAAGGACCCCTGTAAAGTTTTTGCCAACCACTGTGTCCAATCCATTACGAGGGTCCCTGGTCCCAATGGACCTACTATATGTTGGACGTGGGCCATTTTTACCTGCCTCACACATACCCTCTACTGTCTCCTAGAGGGATGATGTTGCTTTGTATTGCCAGGTATCAGTGAGTACTCAGACTTGTGCCCGTCCTCAAATGTATGAGTATTTCCCTTTTAGGAATATACAGTATCTGGGTAAATGGCTGTAGGTCTTTTGGGGATGAACTGGGGGACTCTTTCCTTATATACTCACCGTGGTGTTTCAGGGTACACCCTGCCTGAGACCCAGCCTCTCCTTCAGGAAGTGGATTCCAGACTTGAAAACTGGCTCATGTCCAGAAACTGGGAAAGAGGCTGTGGCTTTTCGGGGAAGTGGTTGCTTCCAGCCCCCTGATCATCTGTTCTTTAATTCTTGATTATATAGATCGGACAATATCTTTTCTGGTCGCATATATCTAGAAAGGCCACCTCCTGTTAACTGTTTCATCAGCTCCTGAAGCTCAGGTGGCTGCCATGTCACTTTGGTTGCTCGTAATGACACTGCATCCATGGAGGTTGAACACTTCCGTTTTGTTTTGTTTTATTTTTTTCCTATTATTTCGGATCCTGTTATTCCCATTGATAGCAGGGAGCCCCCTTCTGTAAAAGCCTCTCCTACCGTCATCCCTGGTCTATAGAAGACAGCCACTACTGCTTCGTGATTCTGGTTAAGATTTATATTCTTTCTTGCTCTGATAAAATGAGGAAAACACTCCTTATTGTTTGGACAAGGAGGGCGTCAGGCAGATCCTTCAGCAAGCAGGGTCAGTGGGTAGGTCCTGGGGTCACATAGCAGCGCCAGGTCAGGAAGCCCTCTTCAGCACACCCTTTGATTCCACCCCGCGGACTTTGCCACTGCGGTTCCACCATTTTAGCTACACTTAATATGCGACATCACTTTTTCTAAGCTTCCGAGTCATCTAGCAGCAACCGTGAAAAAGTCTCCTGAGACCTCTACTAGGGGGTTAAATCCCATCTCCTGGGAATGCTTCTGTGCTGAAACATCCTCTTATTTGGCTTTCAGTGTTTTTGTTGATCCGCTGTTCTCAGATGCGCTCCAGGCTCACACGTGTCCGTCTTAGTCATGACCTCAGCTCCTCTGGCACACACCTCTGTCTCTTCCTTAGCCGCCCCTTGTCAGTGTTGATCTGGTCCTCAGGACAAGGGACCAGCTGAGCTGAGGATGGAGTTGGGGACGTACAACTAAAGACGGATTTTCCTTCCAACGCAGGACACCTTCTGCACAAAGGTTGAAGAGAAAGGAACATTTTTATCATTGAATAAGCATTGTAATAGAGTGTGGTGTGCATCACAGGAAATCCATTAACAGATTGCCAAGACAGAAAGAAATCTCGCTCTTAACAGAGCCCAGCGGATACAACCCATTACACACATGCTCTCAAGATAAACCATAACTAGTTCAAGTCACAGGAGTTAGACCATTTTCTCAAATTTACCTAGCAATGGAGGCATCATCTGTCTTTGCTCACTGGCTTTATCCAAAGGAGAGCTGAATCTCTCCTCTCGTTATGACTGGGGTAGTTTTGCAGCTTGAAGTGACAGGCCTCTGAAGTTAGGTTCCTACCCTCCCATAGAAACTGGGAGATAAGGGGGTTATCTTCTTTAAAGATTACATTTCAAAGAGATGGTTTCCAGGTTCTTAAGAAAAACATTACTGGGTTATAAAGCTGACAAGGGGCTTATTTAGCTTTGAAAAAGATTCATATATATCTCAAAGTGATACAGAAGGAATTTACAAGTTTTCTAAAGTCAGTGCTCCTACAAAAAGGGATTCCTCTCTTGTTTTAACAGGCAGAATTAAGCCTCTTACTTTTCATTTGTTTTTTCCCTTGTAGAGTCATGCATTTACCTGCAGGGCAGTGTCCACACTGTCTTTAAGCAGGGGCCAAAATGGGATGGCTAGAGGGTTCACATGTGTCTGGGAATTCATGTTTTCCAAGTGCATCCACATGGATGCCCGCACGTAACTCATGCCACCACTCCTCCTTCAGGGTTCTGAGCTTGGTGGTGGAGGCCTTCTAGAGCTGAGAATCATATCTTATTCAGTTCTGCTACCCTTATGATTTAGTCTTGGGCCTCAGCCTTTTCTGTACTTAGAACAGGCCCTCCAACTTTCACCTTCAGCTTTAATTGCTAACCCTAGGCTTCCATTATCTTTTTCCCAAACACTCATTACTCCCAGATACTACCATCAAAGTCTCCTTTCCTCATAATTACCGTTCTTCACCCCTTAGACTTCCCATATGCCTAACACTTTATCTGTCCCGTGCGTCTTCTTCCACAGGCCTACTGCCTCAGTTTACTGTGGGTGAACATATTAACAATTGTACAACGACTGTATGCAAGGTCTATCAATACCCCTCCTACCACCAGTGATGTGGTTGTCGCTTCCAGGCACTGGAGGCCAATTTTGTTCTGAAATCCCATTCTAGAGTCTGTTGCTCAGGCTAATATCAACTTCTGTAGTTGGAGCTCCTTGGAAACAGACTCTTGAGATGATTTGTATGTAGGAGTTTTATTGGAGAGTGGTCTCTTGAATAACACCTCTTGGAGAATGAACGAATCAGGACTGACAGAGACAGAAGTTGGGCTACTGGGAAGTCACCTTAAGGGTAATTGCACAGGCAGCTCTGGAGCTGGTTTGCTTCCGCACAATTGCCTCTAATTGTACCCCTGCACTGACCACTTGTAAGATGCTTTGTACCCCTGCATTGGCCACTTGTAAGATGCAGGCTTCTTCCAGAAAGGAGACATGACATTGAGTAAAGTAGCCTATTAGCTAAGGTCAGTCATGGGAGGAGGGGCTCAGCTGTGAACTACTACCTCTTAGCACTCTCAGCTTCAGTCCTGAAAGGAAGAGGGGCTTCCAGTAACATATTACAGTGCCCTGTAATACTGCTCGTCTTTTGGCCCTTGAATCAATTTCTTTTCTTTGAAGTTTTTGAATGAGTAAGTAGATATTAGTGATCGTTATCTAAAAATGTTGCATTTCATCTAATATTTATATAGCTCTTATCATGTACCAGGAATTGTGCAATTATTTAAGATCACAACAACCTTATGGGCTAGGTAATATCATCATCCTCCTCCTCCTCATCATCATCCTATTTATAAACTTACTGAGTAAGTATGAGCCAGGCACCATTCTAGGCATTTGTAATATATCAGTAAAAAAGGGAGATAATAAAATGTCGAGGCTTTCATTCTAGTGGGGAAAGGAAGTAAATAAATAATAATATTAATTATGATATTAACACATTCTACATATATTATTTATATAGCGATGAAAGGTATTATGGATGAATAGAAAAAAATCTAACATAGTAAAAGGGATTTGGAATGATGGGGAGTGAGTGTGTTGCATGTGGTCATTTTTATTATGAGACGTCTGAACAAAGATTTAAAGGAGATGGGAGGATAAACAATGTAAATATCCCCAAAGAAGTGATACTTAAGCTGGAACTTGCAGAGTGGTCAGGAAGACTGGACAGCAAGTAAGAATTCACAGAAGTCCATTCAAGGGATGAGGACTTCTAGCTAGCGGAGGGTGTGTGAGCACCATGTAGGTGTGGGTGGTGGAATACCAGAAAGAGAAGGGACTGAGGAGATAGAGTGTGAGATTATAAAAGACTTTATGAGGCAACCTAAGGGACGGGAGATATCTGAAGGCAAATGGGGGAATCAGTATTCCATTTTATGCAACAGAGAAAAGACATGCTCACTTTCAAGTTTTAGAAGATACCTGTCTGATTCTTGAGAATGGGTTTTGCAGGGAGGAGACTGCTTAAGAAGGTGTACAAGAATGGAGGAATGAGAAACCAATCGTGAGAATATTTCATTATTTAAATAAAATGATAGATGCCCTAAAACATGGTGGTAGCAGCCAGTAGTAGTAGTAATCAAGTTGAATATGAGAAATACTAAAAAAAGTAGTTCATAATAATTATTGGATGAGGACATAGGAAAGAGGAATTGGTAAAAGATGATGTTTAATTGTTTGGCTTTACCAATGATGATAGTAGTGGATAGTTAGTGTCATTTCCTAGAAAGAAAATACATTTTGAAAAGTCACTCTGAGGGCATAGTAATACTTTCACTTTGGAAATGTTAATTTAAAGATCACTGATCCATTGAGCATGTTTTTTTTTAAGTTTTTAAAGCTGTTTATCTAATTGAGTATAATTGATAAAAAGTTACTTTTTTATATATAATTTATTGTCAAGTTAGTTAACATATAGTTTATACAGTGTACTCTTGGTTTTGGGGGAAGATTCCTGTGATTCATTATTTACGTAAAGCACCCAGTGCTCATCCCAATAAGTGCCCTCCTTAATGCCCATCACCCATCACCCCTGTAGCCCCCCACCCCCGCACTAACCCTCAGTTTGTTCTCTGCATTCAAGAATTTCTTATGGTTTGTCTCCCTCTCTGTTTGAACCTATTTTTTCCCCTTTCCTTCCCCCATGGTCCTCCATTAAGTTTCTCAAGTTCCACCTATGAGTGAAAACATATGATATCTTTCTCTGACATATCATTTAGCATAATACTCTCCAGTTCCATCCATGACCTAAATGTGAGACAGGAAACCATCAAAACTCTAGAGGAGAAAACAGGCAACAACTTCTTTGACCTCAGCTTCAGCAATCTCGTACTTGACACATTTCTGAAGGCAAGGGAAATAAAAGCAAAAATGAACTATTGGGACCTCATGAAGATAAAAAGCTCCTGCACTGCAAAGGAAACAATCAACAAAACTAAAAGGCTATTGATGGAATGGGAGAAGATATTTGCAAATGACATATTGGATAAAGGGTTAGTATCTAAAATCTATAGAGAACTTGCCAAACTCAACACCCGACAAACAAATAATCCAGTGAAGAAATGGGCAAAAGACATGAATAGACACTTTTCCAAAAAAGACATCCAGATGGCCAACAGACACATGAAAAGATGCTTAACGTCGCTCATCATCAGGGAAATACAAATCAAAACCACACTCAAATATCACCTCACACCAGTCAGAGTGGCTAAAATGAATGAATCAGGAGGCTATAGGTGCTGGAGAGGATGTGGAGAAACGGGAACCCTCTTGTACTGTTGGTGGGAATGCAAACTGGTGCAGCTGGTCTGGAAAACAGTGTGGAGGTTCCTCAAAAAATTAAAAATAGAACTACCCTAGGACCCAGCAATAGCACTGCTAGGAATTGACCCAAGGGATACAGGAGTGCTGATTCATAGGGGCACATGTACCCCAGTGCTTATAGCAGTGCTTTCAACAATAGCCAAATTATGGAAAGAGCCCAAATGTCCATCAACTAATGAATGGAGAAGATGTGGTTTGTATATACAATGGAATACTACTTGGCAATGAGAATGAAATACTGCCATTTGAACAAGTATTTTCTTAACATCACAGTGATACACTGACACTTGGTGAGTCTGAGGTAGTAGATATATTGTCGGGAACACAGGGTCTCACTCATGCGGCTTACCTTTTAATGAGAAGACAAAGTAAACATATGAATGAAAAATAAATGTGTAATTATAAATTATAATACCATCTGTGAAGGAAATTTTAAGTTGTGAGAGAGAGAAAAATGATGTTAGGGAAGAAAGATTATTAGATTGGTTAGTTACGGCTAACTAACTTCTTTGAAGAAATGGTTTTAATGCTAGAAACTGAATAGAGTATGCCTTGGGGATTAGCCAAGCTGAGGGAAAACACACAGCTTGTTGTGGTCCAGGACCTTCAACAAGGCCTTCAGACCTGCAACACAGGGATTAAGGGGACAGAGGAAAGAAATTATGCTGGAGAGGGAGGTAGGGTTTAATTCATCTACAGTCTTATAGGTTCTGTGTAAGGAATTTTAATTTTATGCTATATAATATATTGGAAAGTAATTGAAAGATTTACCAGAAAACTGACATTATAAGGATGTTGTTGAATCTAGAAGAGCAAAAGTATTGGCAAGTAGTGTGTTAAAAAAAAAAAAAAAAGTTCCTGAGAGGCTACTGAGCAATGCTAACATCTAACTGAGGGGAGGAGAGTAATGAGTCCCTCAGGGGGAGACTGAAAAGTGCCAGGGTGAGGTACGAAACACCAAACCAGGAATGTGCACAGTCACAAAATCCAAGAAAAGGGAAGTTTATGAAAGAAGGCTTGATTAATACTATCACACATGCTGCAGGTGAGCTATGGGCCATTAGATTTGTTACCAAGAAAGCCATTGATGAATTCTGAAATCATAAGATCAGAGATCATTTTTGAATGCCTTGAGGAGTGCAAAGTGGGAACAACTGTATAGACAGCTTTCTCGAGACCTGTTGAAAGGGTACCAGATGAAGGGACATGTGTCTGGAGAGGCCAACAGGAGGCTTTTTTGTTTGTAATGTGGAAATGACCAGAAATTGTTCAAATGTAAATGCAAAGAAAATAGTTCTAGAGACTGGGTGGAGAGTTGGGAAAGAGATGGAGGGAGGATTTGGAATCCCCAACATTAGCAAAAGAAAGATGCCCCTTCCCTTTTAATAGTGTGTTTACAGGCACTGTTTAGTGTCTTGATAGTGAGAAGCTGAGAGAAATCTCAAGTGAGTCTTATTTAAAGAATGAGGTAAGGTTTTAATCTAAGAACAAAAGAAGAATATTGGGTTGAGAAGTTTGATGTGATGGTTCACATGGCAGTAAATAATCATTTAGACATCTTTCATATGGACTTTCAAGTAAATTAGAAGTATAGGGGGCCCCCAGTGGCTCAGTCAGATAGGTGTCCCACTCTTGATTTCAGCTCAGGTCATGATCTCATGGTTGACAGGATGGAGCCCTGCAATGGGCTCTGTGCTGACAGTGTGGATCCTGCTTGGGGTCCTCTTTCCCTCTCTCTCCATGCCTTCCTCTCTCATGCTCTCTGTCTCTGTCTCTCTCTCTCTAAATAAATCAACCTAAGAAAAAGAGAAATATATATGTATGTATATGTACGTGTGTGTGTGTGTGTGTGTGTGTGTGTGTGTGTATAACTGATAGTACATCATGCCAGGATGGCATCAAGGATTCCTGTCCTGAAACTCATTACACAAATTTCTAAAACTTTGGGAAAATACAATGAACATCTATGTACTTTCAACTTAAATGTAACAACAATTGATAATTTGCTATATTTGCTCTATAGCTTTCTCCCTCTTTCCATGTATACAAATATATGTAGTATACTTTTGTATGCATATAAAGTTTTACATCTAGGGTTTTTTTTGTTATACAATTTAGCAGTGGATTCACGAAATTAAACAACATGGCTTATATTTTGATAACTGTTTTTGTGGTAAGAGTTTTTAGAGCAGATACAAATTTCATATAATATTTAGATTGCCAATTTCACAAAATAAAAATTCTATAATGATTAATTGCTCTGATTGCATGAATCCATTTGTTTGAATATTGTGAAAGCTGCACTCTTTAAAAACATTTTCTAATTTTCTGAAAATTTCTATTTTCATACATTCTTGCATCTATAACTTGATGTGTTAAATCAAGAATAAGGTATTTACTAATACATAATTTTTAGAAAAGAATGTTTAAAACTCTCATGTATTTGATATCTGTGTTCAAACTGTCTGAAAAATATAAATACATACACATACACAGGACTATATAATCACTTTGCTTTGCTAACATTATTTTAAACTCTGGAAAACAAAACTATTTTTTAAATATCCTGCAATACCTAGCATAGTGCTGTGTACCTAAGAGTTGCTAACTACTTTTATATAAATCTACATGTTCATTAACATCCATACACACACACACACACACACATATACACATCTGTGTGTGTATATATATATATATATGTGTGTGTGTGTGCGTGTATGTGTATAAATATATGGTGGTTTGATGAATAAAAATGCTATAACACAGTTGTTCTTATATCGCTTGGTTTTCACTAGTCCCACATCAGTAATGCCAAATTCTTCCCTGAGATTTAGGTCCTATTAGGTCAATTCATAACAAGAGGGCCATCTTATAATTACATTTATTCCTTAGATAAATACAATAATTTTCTTCTAAGGAAATGCTTCACACTTTTTGAAATATTACCTCATTTATCTTTCCAACATCCCTGGAAGGCCAGATTTAATCTCATTACTTCTTTCTTGTATGTGTAGAGACTGGCTTACAACATATAAAAAGCATTTGCTTGGAGTCACAGAGCATGAGTAGATTTGTAATTCAGATTAGCAAGTTATTTTCAGGTCGGAGGTTTCACCATGTGCCAAAATCGAGTGTGTCTTCACTGGTATTTCTACACTTGCCAGGTGTTTAGCTGTGTGTCCACATCTTTCCTAAAAGAATTCAGCCACTGACCCTATCCACACTCTCTCCATAGCTTAAAATTGCTATCTATCCCCTGAAATAAAAATCAATGACCTAACAAAAGGTTGTTCCTCTGGAAAAACTCTCTGTGCATTAAATGTCAGCAAACAAACCAACCAAAAAAGACAGCTGTCATTCAATGGGGACTGCATTTTAGTTCAAGTATCCTCTGTCGTTTCCTGAATAACTCAGGCAATCTTAAGACAACATATGACCAACACCTGGGATCTAGAGGAGAAAAGCTGTCAAGTTCATTAGACATTAGATGATATTAGATGAAAGAGGTTTATACCAGCGGGTCTTCTGGTGAACCCTTGTTACCAACCCAACCTCTCAGATTCTAGGTCCTGCTCCATAGGAGCAGCTAGCCCTCATCACTACATGGTCTTTTGTGTGTTGTCTTTGCACTTTCTGCACGACAACCTTAATCTGCTATAGGAATACGTAAATATTGGTAAATGCTGAAGTTGTGAGGTCAGAGGTCATTTTTACTGTCTTGAGGAAGGAGAAGTAAAAACAACCAGATAGACGACTTTCTCAAGACCTGTTAAAAAGGTGGAGAGAGGAGTAGATGGCTGAAGGGACCAGTAAATTTCAGGATGCCTTCTTGTTTTTAAAAATTATTTTTTAAAGTTTATTTGTTTTTGAGAGAGAAACAGAGTGTGAGTGGGGGAGGGGCAGAGAGAGAGGGAGACACAGAATCTGAAGCAGGCTCCAGGCTCCGAGCTGTCAGCACAGAGCCTCAGGCAGGGCTTGAACCCAGGAACCTTGAGATCATGACCTGAGCCGAAGTCTGATGCTTAACCAACTGAGCCACCAGGCACCCCACCTTCTTGTTTTTAATATGGAGATTATTTAAATGTAGATGAAAATAAAGCAGTTCTTTCTGACAACTGAAAAGGGTGAAGGTGTACCCTTAACATCTAATTCACATTATTTACATGCAAAAGTAAACTTTTAAGAATCCGAACAATTAAAGCAAGTTATCCGTTGACTCATTGATGTATTTATTGGCGATACTGGTAGTTTCTCAATACTTTATACAAGTGGTTCTGACCCAGAGTTTTGTAACGGAATAAAACTGGGGATTGTTCCAATTACAGACAAGCCCACTATGTATACATATTTGGAAAAAGTTTCCCATTTGGTGTTGATGTACACTCTTAAGTAAGAACTGCTGAGACCATGTTCTACACAGAACTGAAGGCTTTGATTCTTAAAAGTTAGTATGAAACATGACAATTTGGGTATAGAAAGGAAAAATAACATAAAAGCATTAATTGAGAGAAGTGGAAAATTCAGAAAAAAATCAGTTGGTCACTTGATATATTTGCAAACATTAAGTTATAGTTATTTTTCTCTGTAAAAGCAAACTCCATGTCTCTGATTTATTTTCTGTTGTTATATTAGACTTGAATGTAGCTGTGGGCTGCTTCTCTCTTGAGAGCTTTGATTTTCAAAGAAGAAAGCATGTGGGAGTATAAACAGATCTTATTTATAAGAAACTTATGCTGAGAAAACTCATTTGCCTTGCTGAGAAGTTAATTAGAATCTTCCTCACTAATACCAATTATACATATTTCTTGGTGTATTCTTCTTGGCCTAGATTGAAAAGGTTAGCATACTACTTACAATTTTCCTACTCAGGCCCCAGGAGAGAAATCCTTACCCTGTGTGGGCTGTGCATATGGGCATGTACATACACTGTGTATACCCTGTATTTGTATATATAAAAAACTGCTCAATGTTAGTGTTGCAAGGAATGAATATGAATGATAACGTCATGAGTGAAGACTGTGCCTTTTGAAAAAGAACATTAAAAAAAAAACTTTTCTATAAGTCTTAGAAAAAAAAATGTTTTTTTATAAATGTTTTATTTATTTTTAAGACAGAAACAGAGCATGAGTGGGGATGGGGCAGAGAGAGGGAGACACAGAATCCGAAGCAAGCTCCAGGCTCGGAGCTGTCAGCACAGAGCCCAATGCGGGGCTCGAACCCATGAACTGGGGCATCATGACTTGAGCCGAAGTCGGACGCTCAACCGATTGAGCCCCCCGGGTGCCCCCCCCCAAAAAAAACCCTATTTTTAAGGGAAATGTGCTCACAAATTCAAACTTCTAAAAATAACAAGGAAGTAACATTGTCCTTATTAAACTTATTCTTCTTTAAGTTTTCAGACAGAAAAATAATATTTCTAAAGTGACCATTGTGAATGTATATTTACTTTTACTAGGAATAGGTTCTATACTATGAATCGTTAAATCTAGGAAGATTATCTGATTAAAGGTTATTGTTTCAGTTAACTATACCAGACAGTATAAGTTTAATTACAATATTCTATCTTTCTAGTGTTGATTATCTCTGACTATCTCAAAATAGTCTCTTAATTG